GCGATCGGTAGGTGGGTGGAATTGACACGTGGTCTGTGTCCATGGTCGTAGTGCGCGAAGTTGCTGGGTCGATTGAATAACGACATTGGTTGTCGTCGATGAGTTCCTCTGTTGTTTTCATCGTTTGTACGGTTGCCTGGTTCGTACAGTTGTGCGAACGTTTAATATTGGAAGAACCTTTTTTTTTTGTGTATCTCACAAGTTTTTTGTTTTTGTTTTTTGTGTGTGTGTCTTCAAATCGTTTTGTCATGAATGGTTTCGTGTGGTGGGAATATATATATATATATTTTTGTATCTCTTCAATTTTTTTTTATTTTTTCTTTTGTCTTTTAAATTCGTTTGTCATGACTGGTTTCATGTGGTGGTGTGGTGGGACGTCAAACATGGCTGTTGAAATCATTGATAAAACCTTCATAACGTAAGTTAACGAAGAAAAATACAAACAGAGAAAGGTAAACATGGATTATGTGCATGCATAGGGGGCAATCATCTTTGAATCATTCCAGCGAAGAGACGAGAACAACAGACACATGACAGAAAAAGAGGGTGCGCTAAAAGCGCTCTGAAGTTCTTGCGCAGCGAACTGCGATGATAAAAACACAATACATGACCCGCACGCAAAATACACGATTGAAATCAATCAACCCGTCGTTATGCCATGACCGACACACTAAACATCTGCACAACCGACGACGATTCTGGCGAATCCCTCCCACCGACACACTAAACAGGTGCGCATTGCACAACAGTCCAACCATCGGGAAGCCCATCACGACCAGCCACGTGTACATGCACCCTCATTCACACAAGCGCCGCCCCCCCCCACCCCCTACCCATCATTTTTTCCATCGTCGTTGTTGTCATCATCGGGGGGGCCCGAACCCAACCAATCTAGCTTCTTCGCATCCTCTGGCCCCGTTATGCTTGCGCCGTGCCCGAAACCAATGCCACAAGTTGCCAGCCGAGGGATGTAGTCGGGGTACTCTCTAAACGTAGCGTTCGCCTTCCCAAGCCTCTCCGTGACGACTTTTGCGGCGTGGATGAAAGATCGTCGATGATCGAAGGACCGATGCATGGACGCGACGAGTGTGGGCTTCGCCACCAGGTTGGCGAAGTAGAAAGCTTTGTAGTGGCTGCGCAGATCGTCTCCCGCCATGACGGTGGACTCCTGGTACGCTGCCATGTCGTCGTCCTCAGGTCTGTCCTCGATGTTGGTGTCGGCAAACCATAGCGGCAAGTCCATGGACAGATCTATCATTTGGGCGCATACCGTCGCACTGACGACGTTGCACCACTCCTCGCCGTACCACATTGCACGCGCAATGTCCGTCACTATGGACTCGAGCGAGTACTGGAAAGCCACATTGTATCCCCTTGGGCGGTTCCCGGACTTGAATACCCAGCCGTGTAAGATGTGTCGAGCAATGTTCTCCATTGCGCCGCACGGGAGATCGCTTGCTGCAGCTGTGATGGGTCGGTGATCTTGGCTACCTTCGTGGTGGATTTGGGCAGGACGACGCTCCGAGGGACGAAAGGCGCTGGAAGGCCGCTGTCGATGGCGACAAAGTACTCTCTCGTTTCGTGGACGATGTTGTATAGTCTTCGACCCTCCCCGGTTGTCCAGAAAGCTTTGTCATCAACCCAAAGCACGACACGATCGATGAGGTCTTTCATCATCACTCCCCTACGATACCGGCTCGAACCGGGCTCGCCGCCGTCCCGGTTAGTTCTATTCTCGCCACGCGCCTCCTCTCTCGCCGCCACCACAACTGTTGCCGCCTCTCTTGCCGTCACAAAGGGGGCCACAGTGCCTGAAGTACCCGCACCCGCAGCACCTGTCGGCTCGCCCCCAACTGCGCACGTGTCTGCCATGACTTCCCCCCCGCCGCCGCGCTGGACGGACCCTCCGTCATCACCCGGGTTGCGCTGACGTGGCTGAGACGGCGTGGCGGGTAGTCTACCCGTAAGTCGCCTTTCGTCTACCACAGCGCGTGCCGTTGCCGCCGGCGCTGGGGTGCCTTGTGCAAGAGTGCGCTGGCGACGTTTATCCAAGGGCTCGTCATCATCGCTGCCCAGATGGACGACGACAGCGTTCTCTGTCCGCGTGTCGCGGACACGCACTTGCTACGCCCCGGGTGGAGGGGTGAGCATCCTCTTCGAAGCGCTCTGATCAGAAGAGCGTTGCCGACCGCTCTCCCGTACTGCAGACGAGGTCGCCTCTGCCTGCTCTTCCTCCATCGTGAAGTCGTCGTCGTGGTCCCCTTCCGCTGCTGCCGCCTAACCTTGCGCTCGACGAGGAGGCACGCTTGCTGACGCATCATCCAAACGCGCCCTCTTAACCTTCGGGACATGCCGCCGACCTCTTCCCTGCCCTTGGCTGTCGTCAGGGACGCCGTCCCGCTTCTACGGGCGCTCCCTCGCGTAGACATGCTTCGTCGGGACCTCTGCAAGCGAGCTTGGCGGTCCAATTGGATAAGCGGGAAGTGCTTCGTCGACCGCCGTTTGAAGTCCCACCGATCTGGCGAGAAAAATGTCTCCCGTGTTGCTGCAGAGTGACGAGGACGAATACCCCTACGACGCAGAAGATCTCTCCTACGCAGGAAGAAGACGACGACGTGCACGCTCAAGACAGATGGACGATGACCCCGACGAGAGCGCTCCGCGACGAAAAGATTGACGGTGAGAAGAATACAAGAGCGACGGTGAGAGTGCTCCGTGGCGGAATGATTCACGATGGACGTCCACGTGTACGACAGAAGGACGACGACTCCAACGAAGATCCTCCACATGATGAGATGGCTACAATGGCGTCGACGGTGGTCCTCCGCGACACTGAAGATGTCATCGGGGAGCAGGAGACATTTATCCGCGGCAAGCAGGCTTGTTCTGCTCCCATGTCATTGCGGTCGGTGTGCAGCAGGCGCGGCGGGCTTCTGTACTGGAGACACCCCATTGCGGACGACATTCATGAGGGTTGGGATGTGCACGACTGAAGTTAACGCAGCGGATGGACCGCCCACGACGTCGCTTCTGTGTGGCGGGAAAGGGCATCGTCTACGGTGCCACGTGAGACCACCTTGCCTATCCTGGCGTGTCATTATGATCCTATCCAAGGCGAGAAAATACCCTTTGACGTCAGTGGCGACGCGCGTCAATGCACTCGCCAAGGACCAAAAGTAAGAGAACCCACCTTCACCCTTGGCCACCCCATCGCACCTATCCCTCGCAGCCATCGACCCCCCCCTTTCCACTCCAGAACCCCCTCGTCCACAATCCCCAAACAACACACCCCCTTTCAGACGTGGCTCTGCGGTTCTGGAGCCACCAAAACGCAGACGATGCACTTTGGTCGTCGAAAACGATGACTAAAAAAAAAATAAAAAAATTACCCACACAATTCGGCGGACGAGACACACACACACACACACACACACACACACACACACACACACACACACACACACACACACA